CTCGAAGTTAATGGTTACAATAGTGGTTTTCAATCTTCGAGCGTTTCGGTTCTTTCGCCTCTGTTGCTGCCGGAGTTAATTATCATTTAGTTAATTATTGTCCAATTACATGAGATGTAATGAAACCACGAATTATCGAGACTCACATCATTAGATGGAAGATTGAACTATCGATGCCCTACTCGACATTAGTAACGAGAGTGCACTAATATGCTGCGGCTGAAATCTAATTTCGATTAGACAACTATTACAGGCCAAATTTCCACAAATTGATTTACTGCACTCGATCGTCATTGAATGCATCAATATTATTTTGTGATGAATCAAATTCCCATATGTCGATCGAAACATTTATTTAATAATAACATTTGTTCGTTTGAAACTGAATTTCACCTGTAATTTAAAAGATTTTGTGGTTCGTTTTGGTGAAATTTCTTTGTGAAATAATCCTGTGTGTAGTATAACTTCCAATTTCTGTAAATACCTCACTCGATTTTACGTATTACAAATATTTTAAGTTTCATTATATTTGTACAAATCTTGTCTAATAAAATAGTAATATAGTTGATATTGATCATAAATATTCTATGCTAGAACACAGTAAAAAATATCTTTATTTTATAAATATACAAATTTACAAGTATTTTAAATGTCATTATACCTTTATGTGTAATAAGAGTCTAATAATGCAATAAGGAAACTAAGAATAATATACTTGACATTTTTTATCAACATTGATTATGAACGTTGGAAATCTGTATTGGAATATCTCTAAGGAACATATCTATTCTTCCGTGGAACAAATAGCAATCTCCAAACGAAACAAATACGTTACACACATTTTACAACTTGTTAACCAATAAAAGCGCATGGAGAATTGACGAAAATCAAGTTACACGTCGCAACATCTGCCACACTGTCGATTGAACTTCGTTGAAGACAATCGCTCAAGCAGATAATTCTTGGACCGTTTTAATCACCCCGCTAGCCTAATCTTGCGCGTAATCCCAGTGAGAACGCGATCGAACCCATGTCAGAGCGCGAGAGTTTCACCCTGTCTTAAATCGTCCGTAAAGCGTTCTCGATAATAACGCAGAGTACACACCGTGACGACGAAGATGTTCGACCAAAAAAAAAATAAAATAAAAAAAAAGGAAAAGAAACTTATTAGCTAACTAACGCCCGGGTAACTCGGTTTCGAAGCGTCGCCAGGAAGTTTGCTCGAATCCCCGGGCACAAGTTGCACACTGTTGCTTACCAGACCTGATAAACTTCAGGAAGTTTCGAGCGGAAAGCCTGCGTCTACAATTATTTTCTTTTTTCCCTTCTTCTTTTTCTTCTCTTCCTCCTCCACCCTTTCTACTTCTTCTTGTCTTTCCTCAAGAAGAAACACCAGCTTGGAATTGTCTGTCTATCTAGCTACTCTCAATTCAAGAGTAACGACAGACAAAGAAGGAAGTTTTGTTACGACGATTTTTCTGAAAATTGTGATTGTTCTGTGTCACTGAGAGAGAATTTATTTCTTGACTGAGAGGAGACGAGTTTACTTTTTCAACACGAGCTTCCTGTCCCGTGACGTCCGTCATCCTTACTATACGCGCAATTCTTGCATTTATTTTGTAAATAAACTCGCGGTTACTTTTCGTTCCAGATTCTTTTAACTAACTTTTCCAACGATAATGACAAATTGATAAATAAATTTCTTTACAAAATGATCGAGATAATGAGAAATAAATGGAACGATTTCATTGCGTCTGAAATTCTATTTTTAAAACGAGTTCATATTACGACTGGTAATTAATGTTGTAATAGATTGTTAATTACAAATTAATTGGAAAGTAATCTATAACTGTAACAGTTATTGTGTCACAATTTGCAGTATGATACGAGCTGAAAATATACGGAATATCGCGCAATAACGTCATTGGAGGAGCATTCTGTTATGTTTTACCACGCGGATCCAGCCATTTTAATTATCGATTGTCATGAATGTTTCATAATGTTACGGGAGCAATTTACTACGACGGTTTTCAATTTTCGAAGTGGGACATACGTGCGGTTGTTTTAGACACGAGCGTCGCAGTCGCGTGACGTGTCATTGTTTTCGCCAAAATTATTCGCCGAATCAACGTCAATTCTAATTTAGTTGTTTCTCGGAGAAGTGAACTCTCGGGGAGGATGCTTGAAAAATTTACAAAATTTGACTTGAATTTAAATTCAACGAATCGATTGACAGATTGCTTTAGTAATAATTTAATAGGTAATAATAATAAATTAAACGTAGTATGGTTTTTAATAAAAAAAAAATTGTAATCCTTTCGAGGAAATCATAAAATAAATAATGGTATTACAAACGGTGGATTTATCGGTTATGTCAGGAGTATCGGTTTCATCGTACGCGATCCCGTATTAATTAACAATCACATTAACGCGTGATGCGGATTAATTTCCGGGAAGAAGCGACCGGTAGATGGACAATTAAACGTGATCCATAAATTGCTGTGGAAAACAAACGACAGCCCATTAAATATCTTAATGAGACACGTTACGTTCGACAAAACGGTCGCATCATTATTACCAATAAAACAACGTTGCGTTTGATCGTAAAATAACGGAACTTCGACGCGGTCAGAATGTTTATCAATTTGACAAAATTCTGGAGATACCTCTGGCCATTTATTTGGTATTTCATCTGTCCAGTTCGATTAAATTCGATGCAACTTTAGATGTTTCAAACTAGCGTGCGAAACACGCATAAAAGTGACATTTTCGTAAGTTCAGAAAATTAATAAGAGACTTATATTTTCGATCTCTTGACGAACTTTGAACTCTAGAGTTTCGAGACACGCGCCATTTTATGTTTGCAAGTCAAGATATTCTTGAGACATTTGAAACAATTTATTAAATTTATTTTGAAATCAACACCAAGACTTTCTATGTATCTTATTTTTACATAACTCATATTTGTTACCAAAGTAACAACTTATGTTCAACAACTCACATTATACCAACCTTTTTCATTTTTTAACGAAGCATCCGTAAAGTGTGTAAAATATTTAGAAAATATTAAACTTGTAAAATAACAGAAAATCAAAAAATATTAATGGAATGTTCCAAAAGGTACCTCGAAATCGCGAGCAGAGCGATCGAAAGGAGATACACGTGTCCCGTAAGTGGATCGATGAGAATTTGATAAATCGTCGGATTTATAAAAATTTTTATGCCGGACGTTGTTCGATATCTTGCGCGTTTACATTATTTCCTCGTCGGGAAATTGGCATGCCGAGGCGGAACGGAATTTCCAAAGCAATTCCTATGGATCTAATCAGGATTAGATTCGGTTCATACTGTTCCCCTTGTATTGATAGCGAATCGCTGGACGATAGACCAATCGGTGATGGGACAATCGTCAGTACAACAGCGTACTAATACAGGTGCTTCTGTTCTCGATATATACCGCCTGGCGTTTCAAACGCCATTAACGAGAATCAGTTGAACGGCGGTCTGTTAAGTGACGGCCTTTTTCACTGAATTCCTCGCATCCGCGCGACAATGGCTATTTAACCCTGGTGAACCATCGAACGAAATGCGAAGTGAACGCTCGAATCGAATTGAAATTGCATTTCTCGGTCTAGTATCTCGCTCTCTCGCATGCGTTTTATTCGTAGGTATATTGACAGTGGAACTATACTACTGTTGTAAGTAACAATAATACCGACAATCGTAAACGAGTAGTGCAAGTAGATAATTGTAGCTAAATATAGAAATTGGTGTGAAAATTATAGTTAGAAGTTGATCAATAAAAATGACACTTACTTTCAGAAATTTATCGTTTCATACCATTCGCGTGTGTGTTTTTTTTTTTTTTTTCTTTCCAATGCAGTTTTTAAATTTTAGAAGATGTTCTGATATTGCGATTTTATAGAAGTAAACCGGTTACAGAGTTAGTATTTAAAATACGTAATTGCAAGAATTTCACGATTTCAAAAAATATATATTGGATGTGCTCGTATATCTTAGTTATCGTAAAAATTTGTCCAGTTTACGAGCAATTAAGGGATCAGAAAAAGGAAAGGGAAAGAGTATTGTTATGCGTCGACATTGTTGCAAATTTTTCTTACACGAGGTAAATTCTGTTATTCGATGTAATGTAAACCACTCGTAATTAGCACGTGCCGCGTACGTGTACATGTGTGTCAGTGCGAATAAATACAAACATGGGAAAATTGCATACGTTCCATGCAGCACACTTTTTACCTTCCGGATATTTAGCAACTTCATGAGCGAGAGATTATTAAGGAAACATTAAAACTTGTAAATACTGAAACGTTGGATTATGGTTTATTTACATGTCATTTCATTAAAACGTTAATGTATGTATAATGTATGTATCGTTTTACGCCGCAAATTTCGTAATATTGAGATACTAATTAAACGAACGTTTACGTTTCATTTAATTCTACAGCCTTTTTACGTTGATGAACTTTATAGAAAATTAAAAAAATATACTCTAATTAACTAGGATTGAATACTATGTTTAATATATTTTTTTAAATTTTAAAACACGATCGCATGTAACAGTATAATCATCAAACTGTTGAAATGAACTTATATATTTTTTCAACAGCAGTTATTCATTACTCGATTCTTAACGAGCTTATATTCAATTTGCCAATGTTGCTAAATATCACGCGTCCCGTTGCACGTTGTTCGTTTGCTTGTGTAAATAATAATTGCACGTATATTGAAAATCGCACGATTTGTTATTGCCAATAATTTTTTTCTCCGCTTTGTCGTTTGTACAAGTAAACAATATTATATTGAGAGAAATACGAAAGAAATGTAGCGTGAAATTATTCACAAACACAAAGGAAGATAAACGGTGAAAAATGTTAAATTATTTCAACAAACACATTCATTCGTATACATTATCATGTTCTTATAACTTTGTCTTACCACTGTCTTAAAAAGTCTGGAATAAATTATTCAACTTACTTCTACTCTTTTCGCCATTTCCCGATGTAAAATCAATAATACGTAATGTACATTGTTTCTTCTTCGGCTCTCTACGTGTTTCAACAAGAGCAAAAGTTAAACAACGACTATTGAAAAGCGACTGTAGCTCGTCATTGATTATCGTGCCAGCCCAGTTACATAACTAAATATTTGAGAATCATGGTCGAAACACTGAACGCGCTATCGCTGCCGTCTGTGCAAATCGCGAACTGCTGATAACGTTCGAGTTTTAAATGTTTGACTAGAATATGTCACCGGGGCAGTTTCACGTGTACCGCGGTCGCGTCCAACTTCCTTTCGTCGGAAGATCAATCCATAGAAATATTTGCGCGAAAGAAACAACCGATATTTCAGTTTCGTAGTTCATCGTGTAGTTTTCCGTCTGTGAGTTCGAATCTTGGAAAATTTCGCGTGAAAGTAACGTGGCTAGATGAGCATCCGCGTTGAAAGTTCGTCGAGTAACAGTTTGTCCTTCTTTCTCTTGTCATAGTGTGATCTGAGAAACGAAATTGCTTCGACTTTTATCGATATCATTGGACGTTGAAGGTGGAAACAATTTTGATTTTGAAGTTTTCAACTTAATTTTATTAGAGACTATTAATAGAGATTATAAAGTAAGCAATTTGGATCTTTGGACCACGAGCGAAATTTTTCTGTAGAAACTTTTATTCTTTTCGAAAAATTTTCTGGAGATTTCACTTAAAAGCTGATTATATAGTACTTATCGAAAACTTCAAGTGGTCCAAAATTGTTTTCACATTTCCCGAAAGTTTAGAATTTATTTAGTAAAGAAATTACATGAACTTGGCTTTTTTTAATAAATAGTGTGATAATAATGCTTACCTACGAAGGTTTAAACAGTCCAAAGTTTTTGTTATTTAACATAATCGCTATATTTTGTAATTTCAACATAATTACTGTGTCATTAACGCCGCTGAATGTCGAAACGCGCAACGTAGTAGAAAATACATTACACTCATTCAACGGTAATGATTGACGTAACGAAATTGTTCAACAACAGTATAAAAAACTATTGATCTCGTCAGTATCGCAAGCGAAACGTATACGCTCGTCTCGCATTTCACCTCACGTCGAATCGATGACGATTCAAAAATTTGCGGTAGGTTATTCGCTGATTCTCATGTAAATTTAAACGCGTCGACAGAATTGCGTCGCATGGAGGTCTCGTTTATGTAAATCAGTGTCTTCGAAGCGGTCTGGCAAAGAACCGCGATAAGGTGCCTTGGTTATCTAAATCAAATAAACATGAACGTCAGATTCGTCGCTTGTTGAAGATCGTAAGTTATTTACACATACGTTCAAAGAGCTTCGGTGTAATTTCTGTCAATTAGAATTAAAAACTGGTGAAAGTGACTTAGAGTGGGTTTTGAAAGAAGAATTCAATCGTTTCTCTTTCAGTAACGTTGAAACACGGATATATGTCTAAATATCGAGAAATTTTCCAGACTTATTTTATATTTTAAGGAATGTATTTCTTGAAATCGTAACAGAGAAATAGCTTCAAAGATAATACAATATTTCTCCGTAGTCTGTTGAAACGTTAGTGAGAAATAAAATTGAATCGCCGTCACGAAAGAGGAATGACAGACTCGTTCTCGTGACTGAGAATGACACTCACGTTGTTCAATACTTCAATTTCAACTTCACTTTCGGAGTTCGTACACTCTCAAGCGTGTTAAAGATTTTCACAAAAGAGAGTTCGACACGCACTCCACCCGGATTATTCTCAATCACTAGACCATCGAATCCCCCCCCCCCCTCCTCCCGTCCCCCGAATTTTACGTTCGTTCGACAGGAAGGGAGACACAACGCGGTTTTCGTCGGAAGTTCTTACCTCGACACGATGCATACCGATCGCGAGATCACCGCACACGTGTGACTCACGTATTCCTGCGGCGCGTGTGACAAAGCCGCGTGCCTGCCCGACGTATAATACGCGAACTTCGAATTTCCATTCGCATTGGCATTCACGAGACGCGCGCCGCTCCTCTGAAAGATATCCGTCCGCGGCCTGTCTCGCCGTTGAAAACCTGTCGAAAGCGCCGTAGTATCGGTATCTCCTTTACCGGGCCATCGATCCGTGAAAAACACGGGGTGAACGACACGGGGCGAACGGGTTATCGACGGGCCGTCCCCTGCCCCCCATGTTTCGGGAACCTCTTCGTTCCCCACTTCGTTATTTCAACCCGCCGCGTCAAATGGGGGAAGCCCGCCGCCAGTTTCATGGACCAGTTTCGAATCGTTCGACGAACGCACTGCGCCAACTTTGCTTTAATGCCTGTCCAAGTTTTCACATCTCCGTCGCTGTTGAACTTCGTGCCGAAGCATTTTCGTTGCGGACACTGTACAGCTTTATCGGTTCGTTCAAGAGAATTCCTTACTGGCAGTGCTATTTCTGCTCTCGAGGTTTCTCTAAGATGATCGAGTCTTACGACGAAGTATCTTTCCACGAGAGATTTATTTGGTTTGTCGAGGAAGATCTTCTGGTGCTGTAAATACCTGCCAGTCTTAATTTTCGAGACCTCTGTGATAATTGCGGAGTATTTTGCGAATAGTGGATATATGATTTATTTGGTTCGTCGAGGAGGATTGATCAATAATTCTTATAATATAGAAATGCTATTTCTAATTTTCGTGATGTTTGGTATCGTTTATGTTAGTTCTTTGGGAAAGAGATTTCAACCGATTCTAACTAACTGGAGGAAACCATGAACTATCCTAATTACAGAATCCGCTATGTACATATATTAGCAGAACGTGTGTAGAGTTTAATTCCAAAATCAATAACCACCATGTTTAAGTATCTTACGAAACTATCAGATACGCTTCGCTAAAATCTCCCCCGAATCGTCAAAAACTACACTGTACAAGAATAACGATTAAGTTGTAAAATCTTCACTAAACTTTCATCTTTTGACACGTACCGCTTCCAATTTGCAAGTTCATCCTGTACATAGAATTTTTTCTCGGCATCTTCTTTGATAACAAATTCTCTGCATATGCTCTGTCACTTACACAGCACTCTTGTACACTCGCATTCGTCGCAATATGTATAATAACACGATGTACAATTACTACGATTTTGGTGGAGGACTACATTATACGTCATTTTATTCCCAATACTCATGTATGTTATGTATTATACATAATCCGTATAAATAGCCACGTATAAATCATCCAGGTTGCCCTGCCAAGAAATACGCTATCTGTAAAATAAATTGACCGCGACCCGATTACCTTCTACATAATTTTCGTTTCGCTATCTTGTCCGCGAGATCGAATCTTTGATAATCATCTGTAAATACTGATTGCACCACACATTGAAGTGAAATTCTGTATGCGAGTTTTGTGTTTAATTATTCTTCAAATTGTTCCTTCTCGCGTGAAATGATCAGCTAGACGACTTCTTGTGGTAGCTTCCTGTAAATAACCAGACGGGGGTGGTCGATGTGCATTGCCTTCTCTCATCCCATTTTCTCTCACATTCTCTTGATGGTGTACTACTTCAGTAGCGATGGGATTAATTTTCATTTTAATAGCGCGGAAACTGAATATGGACTTTTAATTATTATACTCGTCGCAATTATTGTGTTCGCTAGAGAGAAATTGAAATAAAAAGTGCTTCTTCATCGCAGAATTTAATTACGTCGAAGAACGCAACGAATCCCGATTCTGGGAAGTAATTCAATGCACCATTCGAAATAAATGTTAATTTGCTTTAATTATTCAGTTGTTCTACAAATTATCGTTTTACATCGAACTGACGAAAGTTTCGTCGGACTTTAAACAATTAGTTCGCGGCAGCTGATTCACTTTCAACAATTTTAATTTCATCCTTCTATTTCCAAGAAATCTTCTCGCCTTTCCAAATTTTTAATTTTTATACCTACCAGATTATATAGAATATATATAGTTGTCTTGTATAAAAGAATCACAGCTGTTTCTTAATTAGGTCATCACAGAGTTTTGCGAAGAACAAGTACCAATACCAGTTTCGATTAACGATTTCGAGTATTAAGAACCACTCCCATCGCTACTTTTTCATCAATCTCGCGATCTTTCCTTCTTGGCCCAGTCTCCTCTATTCATATATTTCTCGCGCCTACACAGTGGACACACGAACGAACAAGTTTAGATCGATCGGTGTAGGAACGAAAGACTCGCCCCTAACACCCACGGTTATTCAAGGGATGATTATGTTCGACAACAACGCCGATATTACTACCAGCAGTACGATGTCGCCGATTAATTGCACCACGGTAGTCTACGCCTTTCCGGAAGAGGATCGTGTCGTTGTCGGATATATCAATGAGTGGATCAATGCCTATTCGTTTATATCGAGTAAGTACACCCTGTACCCCTTTTTCTCGTCCGAGTTGTCGGTAAGTCTTCCTTATCGCTTTCTCTCGGTGGTTTCTGTGTTTGTCGCTCTACTTTATCGATAATACAGAAAGATCTGTGGAGGAATGTCGGTAAAGTAAGATCTCGTTCTTGTTAGATGTTGGAAAAATAGTTTACTGCCGAGATGTTACCAGTCATTGATAATTTATCGTGCTTTGATTCGCTAGTTACCTTCTATACTCGCTATCGATAATATTACATTGGTTCTTTATCACGTAGTATATGTTAAAAAATGTTGGAGTATTGTTTAAATTTACAGTTTACTTGGAAGGAGAGATTTAATAGTGAGAAAGATTGAATTTACATCGCGTAAAGAAACGCGAGGAATAGTCGACAATTAGTAGTGCACATCATTGCTTGAAACGCGATTTATTTACAGGGTTTACAGTCAGAAGGATTGCGCATTTGTGTCTGGCATTGCATTTAGAGTAGTAGACAAAGTTTTCTAGTAATTTTGCATGCGACTTGAACCACCCCGAACTTTCTTTTACAATTTCTCGCTCAATTTTATTTGATCATTCCCATTGTTATTAATTTTCATTCGATTTATTTTACACAGAGAATCAGGAGAAGTTCTACTTGTACATCATAGTGTCGGTCACAGCCGGCATTTTAATTTTCCTGGGCTTGGTAATTGGACGTCTTCTAGTCAGTCGTCACCGTGCAAAGAGAGACGCGAAGTTCCATGCAAATAACGAAGCTCTTCCAAACGGATTCACCGATGACATTTCGGAGATCGACGCGGATATTGATCTTACCACGCCGGTGCCAGTCCCAATGCAAGACACAAGGTTCGTAATCCACTTAATTCCTTTTTTCCAAAGAACACAATATTCTATCTCCTTCTCTTCGTGTTAAAAAATTTTATCAATTACAATTATTCTTTGACTTGTTTAAACTGTATCGTTTTTAATTTAATTACGAGCAATAAAAATTGTCTATATTCTCAGAAATAAATTGTGCGTATGTAATAACAGGTATTCCCTGCTTTATGCATTTGTGTGTTTAACAAATGATGACATATATTTTTTGATTTTAAACCAAATACAGAAAAGAAGGATAAAATGAAATATGTAACTCATACAATCCATGTTTCATTTTTCATCAGCACGCTAATTAACGTTCTCCAAATATTGAACTATTATTATTAGATAATTAATTTCCAAACTATATGATAATAATCATTATATATGTCTATCCAAATACAAATTGCAACAACCTCGATACAATTAACATCTTACAAACGTCAAATTATTATTGTTAGATAATTAATTTCCAAACTACGTGATGATAATCATAATAACGTGTCTATTAGTCTCAAATCAAATGCAAAAAATAATAAATTGCAACAACCTCGATATAATTAACATCTTACAAATATCAAATTATTATTGTTAGATAATTAACTTTCAGACTACATTAACAATGATAGTTATAATATGCGTCTATTGATTCCGAACTAAATACGAGAAAAAGTAGATCAACATAGATAATCATCGTTTGGAATATAATTGAACATATACGTTCACGGTTGAATTAATAAATATCCCAAGCAAATATATCATATAAATCAACCAGACTAGCGAAACTAAATCTCTTTCCAGGCTCCCCGAGACCCAATTAGCGGAGAGACTTCACGGCGATCGTTACTACGCGGAAACCAGGATACCAATGTCACCCACCACGATGCACCCAGCGCCAGGACACTACCCTGGCAACACAGGTGTCAGGGTGGACCTTGGTAATCATATGGTGGGCACCGACAGCCTCCACACGATTCTACGCCCGGAAAATCCACGGAGCATGAACACGAAAAGCTATTACTACGGCTGACAGGAGGAAGGGGGTGTCCCGCGCGAGGGACGGCCCCCGTCCTTGAGCCCGGTACCGGAAGTGAGCACGCGGAAGTACTGCTTTTAATCGAGAGAGACCGATTTTCTACGGAACGGCGAACGAAGCCGCTGTAAGAAGCAGCCGTTCGATGCCAACGAACGTGCTGACTTGTCGTCGATCGAAATCGTTGTTTCTTCGAAGCGGAGGTCGAATGGTGTCCTTCGCCTTGGTACCGGAAACGAGCACGCGGTGGTGACCCTTTTTACATATACGCGTTATCGTTTCTTTCGGGTATGTAACTCGCAGCTGTCAAAGAAAAACGAAAGAAAAAAAAAGAACAACCTCTTCGACACGTCGCGTGATTGGATCTCCATGAGAGAGAAATCAGAGGAGAGTGGAATTTGATTTCCTCGAGGATTGTTTTCCGAATTTTGTCGGAATTTTCCAGGGATATTGGCGGAAGCGGTTGTATTTGATCCGTGTAGATCAACATCGTGAAACGGATGGAATTTTCGTTGGATGCCGGATCGTTTGGAAGTGGACAAACTTGTTATCTCTCGCGGTGGCGATCGTTTCACGCGTGGCTTCGGACTGACACCGGAAGCGAACGAGAGCCTGGTCAGCGAAATCTAACGAGAGCGTTGTAAATAACGGGCGTCAACTGTTTCTATGAAAATTCTAATGGGAATGTCGTGGATGAAAGTGAAAGCGAGGATCGGATCCGATCGAGCAGGTATATTAAAAATAATAATAATAGAAAAAGAAACTCCTATTGTTTGTTGAAGATGATATTATTGAAACTAGCACTGTTTTTAATGAGAAGCTGCGATTATATAAGGCAGGGTTCATCGATTAGAAAGTATAAGTATACGTTGAAACGTAAGAATATGGAGAATCGGGCAGCGTTCGTTCTTGTAACTGGTACCGGATGTTAACATCCGCTACGTTGTCGAAGTTATAAAATTGATTGTGATTGCGATTAGATTTCGATGTCTGAATGAACAAATTTGTTTGACGAAGGAGGATTGTAAAAAATACATGGAGAACAAAAGAAATAATCAATACTATAAAAAGCTTTATTCTGGTTTAGGACTCAGGCAGCACAGAGACTATGAATCCCTTAAAGAAGAATAGCAGTGTCTTGAAATTATTTTAAATATGTCTTTCAACATTCCGCGAAAAATTTCTCAAGCTACCGACGTACTTATTTATTTTATTTTACTGAAATAATATTAATATTATATTATAATTAATATTAATATTATTAGTAACTCTTAATTATTTACAAGACATTTTTAAGTCGAAATTTATAATATCTAAATTTATAAAACATCTAAATTAAATCGTAAGACCTTCGAACCTAAAATGGACGTGAAAGTCTCGTGTGCTGTGTGGAGATGGTTATTTAATTTGAGATTGAATATTGACATGCTGGTTAACTTTTTTTTTACAGTAATGACAATTATTTTAACAAGATGAAAAATTTCATTTACGAAAAAGGAGAGTGACGCTTGTACTTGAAATAATAATTTTTAGTTCCTGATAGAAATGACTTCCTACGCGAATTATCTTCATTACTTTGAATATGAAAATGAAAAGGAAGCATCACTGCCTATTGAACAGTAATAAGAATAAATCTGCCAAGGGTAGCAGATCGATGTCTTATATGTACGTACAATAATTTATCATTGAATAATATCAATTTTTTTTCCGACGAAAATCACGCACACACTTCTTTGAAAACAAAAAAAAGATAATACATATCTTTGCGCAAAACCGTGTACAGCAATAAGCAATCGCAGTTCTTTCCATTCGAAGAATCGTTTCTCCTTGTCGAAAGATCGAGAAGACTGCCTGAAAAAAACAAACAAACAAAATATATCACTGCCTAGTTGACGAGGGAAATGAAATACGGGTCCTTTGTTACTAACCAAATTTTTCTCAGATCTTCGCTCAGGTTGAACCACATTATCGACGTTGTCACGTTTTAACGATGATTCCTAACAAGAACAATCGTCGATAGCGTGGTAATCTTGATGATAATTTTTCTAGTACGAACTTGTAGTATATTTGTCTCGTCGAGAAGAAAAATATAGAAAAGTTGGACGTTACGTGCTGCTCAAAATACAAATTTGTATTCGAGTATCTTATTAATCAATTTTCCAAATAATCAAAAATTATTTATTACGAAAATTAGTCGCGAAAATTTCCAAGTTTATAATTTAAATTGTAGTTCGAGTTGAATTACATACGACGCAAGTTTTCTGTGAGAATTATTTTGATTATTTTATCGATAACGATACCGCGTTAACGATAGGTCCATGAAAAGGAAAAGACAATGTGTGTTACGAAATATTTCTGAATTTAAGATAACGTTCTCAAAAGATATTTCCAATTGGCTTAGTCTATTTAATTCTTTCGAAGAACTGATAAAAATTTGATAATAAAGTATTTGAGCGACACGTGACACCATCGTCATCGACAATGAAGACATTTACACTATTAGTCGACAGTGGATTGCTCAGATTTCTCTCGATTGAAGCTCAGTACACCGGAACGAACGGTCAACGATCGAAGGATCAATATTGTAATTCGATGGACGAACGAAAACGACACGATCGAACGACACGAATCGACGATTGATCGATCGATCTCCCTAGGATAATTCTTAATCTCTAACTAGCACCGTAAGGAAAAAAAAAGAAAAAGAAATAAATGAAAAAAAAAAGGAGAAGGCAAACGAACGAGGAACCACGTGGATCGGACAACCTAGCTTCGATTTAAATTCACTGATGGTTAACCGTGTGTATGGAAGTCGATCGATCTCAACGAAGTTACAGCGGTTTTGTATCTCGAATACACGCAACCGAAAAACAAACAAACAAAAAAAAAAATGGAACTTAAATGAAATAAAAGGCACCGCGAGACGACTTTTATAGAGAAACAATCTGTATGTATATCACGCTGTACATAGGAACAATGTAATTTACTGTAATTGTTAAGAAATTTAAGTAAAGAGAGAAAGAGAGAGAGAGAGAGTGTGAGAGTTGTATGCAAGAGAATATTATAGATCGAGAGTATAATATAGTAGAAGGAGGTTTCGTAATCGAATAATTACTCTCTGTGCCATCGATTTCACGAATCGAGGATCTAAGTCCTTCGTGATGTTTCCCGTGATCAATTGTGATCGATAGTCAGAATTTCTGGATACGTGCAGACTTTAATTATTATTTAAATTTTATTGGAACAACGAAGACTAGGTTTGAAGTTTTTTTTTTTATTTAGGAAGTCACGATTTAGTAACTTGTCCATTTTTTTTACTTTTTTCTTATATCAATTGATAGATGTTGTTTAATTATTAAGTAAACTCGCGTTAGTCAATTTCGTTCAGTCGAGGTACTGTCTGCTCGACTCTTAGTTATGAATCTCAATTTTTTTGAACCTCGATCTAATCTAAATAACATTGGAAACTGCAAAAGTTCCCGACCAAATGTCAAATTTCGATAACGATTTCACGAAGTCGTCGTGCCATCGCTATTTTCATTGCAGTCGACATCACGCTGAGAAGTTTCAAGATTTAAACTGATTTGTGTTATTTAACACTTCTTTAATGGCACAAATTCATTCTCGTGCTGATCGATTTTATATAACTTTATATGAATCAGAGTGGCCATAATGTTAAACCTCGTTTCGTCAGTCTTATGTAATTAACAATACGATATTTCATTTAAGAAGAAACAGAAGCTCTTAGTTGTATTTTTAATTAATAGGCAATGTCTTGTACATGAGTAAAATCTTGTATAGCTCGATGGAATTAGCTTCGTTAGTGCCATTGGTTTTTACATATGACCAATTCTTTTTTGTTCTAAGATGTATAGTATTAATATTAATTTGTATATTAATTCTTACGCCATAAGTTCGCATACTTACCGATACGCTATATTTAATATTTAGGAATTTTCAATTTAATGATCTGACCACTAATTGAATGGTTCATTGAAAAAACGCAACGTATTCGTATATACACTCATATTTATTATAAAAGGAAAAGCAATAAACCTTGTAAAATTACATTTAGAACTTAAAATTTCAAAGAATTGAAATTGAATTTCAAAATTCTCAGATTCTGTATTGATTATGTCGATTGTTTAACTTCCTCAATCTTTACAATAATTTCATACAGTATTTAAGTATTCTTTTCAAACAAAAATCACGAAGGATGAAAATTACGTAAAATTAATGTTAAGCATCCTTTGACCCAACACGCGAATTTCAATTACCATTCTTCATTCGAAATCTATCTCGAAAAAGATGATTCTCTCACGCGATTAAGCGGTCGAATGTAACAAAACACCTCGTGCATGATAATGGAACAATTCGTACAACTTTTCGTGTAAACAAACGATTTTACAAATGGCTGAATTCAACAATAGACCGTGCGGTTGACAATAGACATTCAACATGTTTCCGTATCATTAATTCTACAAAATGATTCATTTTTGCCCGGCAATAAACTTGCATAACATGGGATGAACGAAAAGAGAGAATTCCAACTAATTACACACAATCAAAGATACCATAATTTAAACAAATTTTCTTTTGAGGAAGAACGGAAAAATATTGGAAGCTTGGAAAAATATTATTTATCAAGCATATAATACACTAGATAATATACCAGACTAGATTCTAAAAAGCAATGATCGAATATCATATTTGCAGTTTTTATTGTCTTTGTAATTTTTCGCTTATCTCCTTGATATCTCTCTTCGAGATAGTTTCGATATTCTTAACACAAATTTCTTCGAATCGTGATACTTTTGAAATGCACTCGCGTTATGTCAAACACGCGCCAGTCAATGAGCCAGTCAATTATTAATTCGACGCATTCGAGAGAAGCGTGCGAAGGAGATCCGTGTTGTTCCGTTGATTAGGTTGGCTCGGCGGAAATATAATCCGCCATGGCCGTGTTTTTAATTGGTCTGGCTTAATTAAGCCACTCGTGCGGGATTGTAGCGAGTCGCGCGGGTCTCCAGGAAAATTCTAATTGCCGGAAGAACGCTGGTTCTCCGCCATTTTATTCTCGCTTCTCGGACATCCCGCGAGATCTTTTTTTTCCCCGAGCCTGCCACATTGTTTTCAATTTGACAAAAGGCGACTCGGCCACCTGAAAATTTCACTCTGTTCCGATTTATTTTCGCAAATCGTTCGATAAATGGATTCAACGTTGAATGCTACTTCATTTGGATATTTAATTAATATCCGTGCCTGTCCTTTTAATTAAACTTCAATTGATTTGGACGTGTTCGTGTTACGACGGTGAAAAATTAGTCCACGGGAGAATTATTTCGCGAATTTAATCGAGTTTGGACAGAACTTTGAGAACCTCTTCCCTCGGGTTTCTCTTGGAATTTCATATATCGGTGAGATCCTCTTCCACAGAAAACTACGTTTCTTTAATGGAGGAGAAACGAATTTATAATATAAAATGTCCGCGTTCTATTGTTCCATTAGAATACGTGCGAATTAAACAATTCCCGTTTCATTTTCGTACGAATCGCGGAATTTACGTTTCCAATTTGTATTACGATGCGAGTTTCTATTTTATTTTGTAGCAATTGTTCCAAAAGGACGGAGATCACGCGCAGAGAATTTCGAATAACCAGCCGTGGGTGCGAGATAACCCCATTGGCGCTAGCTCAACGAAATGAAAAATGTGAAACAGAAATGTAGGTACTCGATGAAAACGTTATGATGTATCGATGTATCGCGATGTGTGAAAGGGTTAATGTCGTTCGTAGATTCACATAACGCACCAGGTACTCAATAAGCATTCTGTTTTTATAAATAAACCTTAAGCGTTAAGCGTGTAGCGTACACTGGTATCGTTGTCTTTTTCCATTTATTTAGTTCTGTAGAATAATCCCCCTTTCTACATTTTAATCTTTCTTCTGGACATTTAACGTTACCAAAGAGATTTTTATTTTCTTCTCTCGCTCGAGGTACTTATATTTGCTACATTTCGAATGAAATTCCTTGATAGTCGGTACTCCTCGAGAGTATTTTTCGTAGTTAATTCATTTGAGTTTGTCGATACCTTTGTAAATTACCAATAACCAAGGAGCGTCAACGCGAGAAACGAAAACGTTTTTATACGCCACACGAAAGCATGATTACCATATTTCGATTGATGATTATTTATATCCACGTACCATTATATACAACTAAGAAAGCGTGTAGAACTGTACCAAAGACAAGTTGTCAACGCATCGTTCGATAGCAGGTGTGATCACGGAGCTCAGAAATAAAGACACGAATCGATTTTAGTCTCGTGCGCATTTATTTGAGAAATCGTTGACTACCAACGACCAACGTTCGCTAATTAATCGATTAAGCGATACAAGCTCCGACTTCTTTTTTATTAAAGGCAAATAATCTAACAAAATAAGAAAGATCTCAATAATAAAAGTCAGTTGCATTTAACAGTGAAGTCGCAGCAAAACTATTCAGAATACTTGAACTTTCATATTCCTTTTCAACAGTTTTATCAACATAATCTGAATTGCATAGAATATTTACAAGGACTTGAACTTACAGTTCGTTCTGAAATCGATTGAATTGTGAAATTGCTCTTTAATAAATTAAACAACGAAGTAGTCTTATTTGTCATAGGGATGAGACAAATCTTTAAAAAGAAACGCTATTTTTCAAAGCAGAGATCTTTCGCTTGAATCATAATTTTTCCTCGAAATTGGCGCCACTCTGTCAACGTTCCACGCAAGAAATATTTCTCCCCTATCTCGCGAGCTTTCTTTCTGAGCGATCCAGATTACCCTATATTGTCGAGGCGGCTTGTTCGAAGCGGAGTGCCTGATATCATTTCGCGAGAGGCATTTCCAAGAGAGGGCACGTGCTCGTCACTTAGCTCGCCGGTAAAATGCAAATATCCATTAAACGGATCCACTTCGTGGAGAGTTAGGAGAACACGCGTGTCCCGTGCAATACACAAATGGAACGGAACGCAACGTGATTTACCGCGACGGCCGGAAACGGGATTCCGTGACGGGAAACCCGCCCCGATGGAAAGGTTCACGACCCTCTCCTCCCTCCACCCCCACCCCCCAGCTGAAATTCACGAGAACTCAGATACTATGCCTCGTGGAATTTCGGATTTTGAAACAGACCGTGACGGCAATGGTGGCGGAACGTCACCAGTTTCCGAAAGACGAAACGTATCACCTTTCGACTATTATCGTCGAAAATTTCGGCAAACTTTCACGAAAACTACGCACGATCCATGCAGCTGTTCTTTCATCGATTCTTATAATATAATCCTATAAAAGAAACTGTAAATTTGTTACTATTCAGAATTCGTAGGGTCACGTTTTCTACTTATTCATAAAACGAATGTCGAATTTTTCTTGATAGATACCGTTCGTTCAAATAATTTCTTCTAATTACAAATGTGCGATCAAATATAAATGAGGTAAGATAAAGGGGAGGAGACCTCACTTTGAGAAAATAAATTATATTCCCCCGGAAAAGAGAGAAACGAAAATTATCGAGTGGAATACTTTATTTCACAAAAATTCATATTTTTGTAACTACACTTTGCAGAATGCGACATAGATAGAAAACTGTTTCGCCTATTAAATATTGCCACTGTACTTTATGTATATTTTACGCACACGTTCTACATTCTTGAGTCTCATATCGTACAGTACCTTCCGCCTGTATAAAGATTGAAAATTTTACAAGACTACATTTCACAAGTATATTTAGGAAAAATGATCTCGCATTTTCTGCGAAGAAATTTCCCAGTTGCACGAGCATGATGGAAGAAAATTTCGATAACTGATTTCGGAGAAAATTCGAAAGATCAGGGAAATAATTTCTGCAGAGAGTTTTCGCTTGTTATTTCGACGGCGTGACGAGTCCGCTCTCTTTGTTTTCGTATAAATCTCGCGCCACACGTATTGATTAACGAACGTAATACTGGGAGGCGGAAGGGGGGAGGGGGCGAAAAAGTTTGACAGCAGTCGAGCAAGTTTTAGTATTTGTGGAAGGAGTCAGGGGTGTAGCTCGTTTCGAGAGAAACTTTCTAACGGTTCCGCTGTGGGAGGACGTATTTATTGTTTGGATTGTTCGATCGGTTCGATCGATTGCTCCGCGATTAAACGTTCCGAAATAAAAACAGCACGAACTCCAAAGGTAGAAAAGGTTTCTACGTTTGTACGACTATTTACCGGGAAACCTCGTGCACGTCCAAATTGACAAAAAAAAAAAAAAGTGCAGTCGTATAGATGGAAATACTCTGTGGAAAACTGCGTGGTTTTCATATTTTATATTTTTGACATTTTGTCATTTGAAAAGTGATAATTGGCGTTGAACGACTGCTGCAATTAATTATTACTACGTATTGTTTCTATGATTGCAGAATTATTCATGATTTATTTCTAAATATTGGATTTATATTTTCTTTCGAAAAATATTATTGGTTCACAGAAATTAATGTTACTTGATATTTAATTTATACTATTGCTATGATATTGCTACACTTCATATTTAATATTTTTGTATTAAAATCCGTGAATCTCCAACTGGAACTTACGTTAACGAAAAATCGTCGAGATCGGTAGTAAAAAGTAAATATCTAATTTTTACTAAAAAAAAAAAGAAAGATCACATTCAGTCATAAATGCACCAAATGACAAAATCAACAAACATTTATCCTACTCTCCTTATTTTCACCAGCTCAATGAACCTCTAAAACGGATCGTGAATAATTCACGCCAAAACACCAAGCGGTTAATCACATCGTATGGATCGGATCGACTAGATCTCGTCGAGGTGACACGTGCCCACGTAAGGACTTGCTTCTTGCGAGATTTACCGAAACTTTTTGTATGACAAGCAGCGAGAGATGAATTTCATGATCGAGTGTGTGAGAGAACGAGAGAGAGAGAAAGAGAGAGAGAGGAGTAAATATGGGAGAAAGAAGTGTGAAAAGAATGTGACGAAGAGGATCGGCGAGTTTTTATTGTAAGTACCTCTTGTTCGTAAGCACCTTGTAAATATCGCTGTATCATAAAATAACCGTGTACCCTTCGAGTTCGACTCCTCCTCGATCTCGAATCGAAAAGAATAAAAATAAAGAAAAAAAATGGATCGAAGCGGGATAAGAGGGTTAATACTGAAAGAATTGTCGATATTCAAAGCTTTATTAGGGAGGGGAGACGCGGTGATATTCGCTCGAAAGACTGAACAAGAAATGTTAGCCACGTGAGTAAAGAGATGAGACGAAAGTTTATCGAATCGTATAGCGAAATTATATTATAAGAAGCGTTATCGAATGATATTATTATTAATTATACATAGAGAAACGACGAGGGAGGCGGATGTTTATAGGGATTTTAAAAAATAGTAGAGTTTATATCCAACACGTGTACGGTGTATATCGACAATCGACATCGCGGAGGAAGTACGAAACAGTGTATCGTTCTGTTAACGTTTTTTGGAGCGAGTCTGAATCTTGAACGTACGACTAACGTTTCCAATTTGTGTAACTATCCTTTAAATGATTTACTATTATAATAAATGAATTACGAAAAAAAGGACACTATGTTGCTGTACGTGCCTTCTACGATCTTTCATATGATACTTTGTACTGGCCTTTATTCTAGAGATTTTCATTTGATTTTTCTTTAAATAAAAACAGTCGAAAACGCCCAAGTATTTTCTGAAGTTCGACTGAAAACAAGACTAGTCTGAAGTTTGAAAAATTTGTTTATGAAAAGTATTTTTTATAAATTTTTATAAATTTTTTGCTCGAATTAAATTCAGTTGTGTCGAAGTGTCATTACGTATTAAATATAAAATTTTCTCTTCCACAAAGCAGTTTGTGATTTTAATAATTATCATGATTCAATTAAATTAATTATAATCACAAGTGCGATTTAAAGTAATTAAATTACAAAATACGAAGAATGAAATTACATCAAATTCTCTGTTTCATTTTATATTCTCTTCACAGAAGGTTTCAAAGCAGAAACGAAAAACGCAACATTGGAATAGAGAGCAGATTATCCGCGTCGTATCTAACGTGTAACAATAATCAAAACATCGTGAAAAACAGTCGAGGACAGTCGAAACAGAGTCGTGTTCGTACAAGTTTTTGAAATATATCAGTGGTGGGGACTGAACGACATTGAGGAATCGCGAGGGGAACTTATTGAAGATAGTTTGTCTTTCGACCGCGACTTGTATACTCGTGCGTCTTAATCGTTGTGTGAATTCTAAGGTTGTTCCATCTTCTGCAACGAGTTCCTGTGGTAAGTACATTGCACTCTATTTAATCTTATATATCGAACATGTTGTTACATATCATTGAAATAGGAAATTCAGGGACACGTAACGTTAGGAAATATAAGGAGCGTGTTTTATATAAATTAGAACGTGAAACAGATCGAATCGGATTCGGAAGTATCGAGTAATCTGAAAATTTTGCCGATATATATCGGATTCTTCGAGATGTTTCGCGTTTCTGGAGAATTTCGGAGGATTCTCGTCGAGAAATGTGAAAAAAATTCCAATTACAAACTCACAAGTGGTCCCACTTTTTGATTAGCTCGACTGAATGACCTCACTGTGCAGAAACGTGTTGCGCGTCGATTGCTCCACAGAGTATGCAAATGATACACGAAGGTCGAAGCTTTCAATCAGTTTGTTGCTCTATTCGCTAATTATCTGTAATTCACTTGTTCATTAGACTGTAATAGCTCGTACTGCCAACTATCCAACTGTTTGAATTTATTAGTAATTGTCTATGAAAAATGAGGAAAAACTGCGCGAATTTTCATTAAATAATCGGCAACCGGGATTTCTGTTTCGTCTCGTTTCGCTTAATTTGAAGAATCATTTAATTTCGTGAAATTGAAGAAACGCTAGCTACGTTTACTATAACTATAAAATATAATTATAATATAATTTATATAAAATATAATTATAATATAATTTATATAAAATATAATTATAATATAATTATATAAACTATAAAACATAATTTTCTTGAAACGTACGTTTTTGTTCCAACCAGATAGAATTAGGTAAAGTAATTATTACACTGTGAATTTTTGTGAAAATCCCTATTTTTCAGAATATGGTTAAAACTTTATAAAAAATTGCTTCTTGCATTTATTACAAAATTTACTGTGTTTTGACTATTTGTACATCTTTCCCATGTTTCGTGCAATTTTGCATTTTAATATTTTTTACGATTGCACGAAAATGTAGTAATTAATCTTTCTGAATGGGCTGGAGTACAATATTCGTGCGAAGGTATGAATTTCAAGTGACCGCGGACCTGGTTTTATTTCTAATCTAGGTAGGGTGCCAAATTTTTTACTATATAAAGCAACTGGAGAGCT